TCTCCTGCTTCCCCAAAGAACAGCATTCCTCTTGGTCACTTTGCTAAATAGGAGCAGCTTACCAAAACATTCATTTACTCCACTGGCGATCGCAGTCTCCAAGTATTTGTAAGGAACTATAGCCATCTTAGACAAGTCGGGAGGTGTCAAAAGAAGAAATAAATTACTACAGAACTAGAGAGATTGATTTACAATGATTACAATGGAAAAACAGACGAATAAATGACTTGCTGTTCAGCTATTTCATAACTGAAGTCTGAAATGCAACAAAAAGAGGAAAAATACAGTAACACACAAATATTAAATCATCAGAAAAACTTCTGGTGACAGATAAACACAAAACAAGAAAAACAAGTTGACAAATTCATATACAATAGGAATTCAACAAACAATCCCCCATGGTCACCCTAAGCTACCAATGCTTTAAATTAAAATTCTGTTGCAATTTATGCAGTCATTAGTGTCTCTGAAGCAGATATACATAGGCATGGAGGTGAACTTCGTATTACATATCACTCAGGTTAGAAGCAAGGTGGAATCAGAATGGGAAGTAAAGGTACTGAATGTTTACAAAAGATAATGAAAACAATCACACCTATCCTAATCACTATACAAAATTCAGTATCTCACCAAAGCAAATCCTTGAGAAGCAACTTTGACTTCCAAAGAGCTTACATCTTTCAAATAACAACCTGGCTTGGAATTTATTATAATTCATTCTACGAACAGCTGTAGTGCATTTTTTACATTAAACAAGGATTGTAAAACTTGCTAGGATACCAGTCCGGATTTAGATTCCTTCTGTTCCAAGCATTTTGTTTAAAAGAATCACTGACCACATTCAAAAAAGTAGCAGCTAAACACAAGGTTATAGACAGGCTTCCTATCCTAGATGCAGGGTATCAATGGCAGAGGATTACTACCATCGCCCTCAGCTTCAACAGCCTGAAGAACAAGCCCTGGTTTGTTTTTACTAAAGTAAGCAGGCACACATTCTTGAAGAACAGGCAAGAGTTTAAACACATGCTGAACCCAAGTAAGCCTAAAACCAGTGTATATTTGATGGGAAGTTTCTGTACATCTCCAAACACTGCAGTTAGTTAAAGTGATCCCCAGAGCTTTTTTAGAGCCTTCAGAAGTGCAGTTATTTGTTAGCAGGAAGCCTGTGAAGTCCCTTACAGGCACACAAGCGTGCTTACACAAGATACCCAGGAATGCACATACCTACACCGAGAACTAGAAAGCACCATGAGCTCTTAGAGCTTAGTATTGTACTCTACTCACTGCAAAAGACTAGGCCAAGATTTAATAACGATGTTTGCAGAAGCATTGCTTAGTCTTCAAAGCAGGTTCTATTATGTTACTCTTGTTCATTCCATTGTATTTTACAGAAAATGTGCTTCTAAAGAAAGATAGTGTATTTTTGTCTGTGTGTGTCTGGAAAAATAAAAAAAAGTGGCTACACACGGTTGAAAAAGGAAAGTCACAGCAGATAAACCAGCAAAGGCAGAAAAAGATAATATTCTCCCTATCCACTCAATTTAGCACTGCTTAAGTACTGGGAGTGAGGTTTATGCTTGTTTTCCGAGTAGAAAACCCATCCTCATCTCTCAGCACTGCATGTAACATCACAACACTTCATAAACCTAGAGGTGGCCAGAAAACTGACGGGTTTGAAATTACACCATCAAGATACAGCAACAGGAGGAAACCCCAGAAACTGACACACTGCTTTTCCTCATGATCCCACACTAAGTATTTAAACTCCATTAGCCATTGCATAGCAGCATTTCATGATTAGGTCAGTTTTTAAATAATTTAAAAATAGTAACAATTAAAAAGTATCTGTCAGTTGAGGTAGCATCCAGGATAAATGGAGTTCGAGTAAGCGTGTCTATTTTCATTGTAAAATGCAAATCACAATCACAGAACAAAGGCTATTCTGTACTTTGCTGCAGCCTGTGTAAAGAAGCTCCAATGCCACTTTCAGAGATGCACTTTAGAAGAGGCAAATATATTTTTCATTTATTATTCCTATTCTACTAAAAAACTAAGAAACCTTGCATAAATAGAGTTTTAAAACTCTTAAAACCACGCGCAAAAAGCAATCTATATTGCTTTCATATAGTCACATAATCCTAAAGGTTTGATGATGCAAGAAAATGAAAGTGCAGCTCTTGCAAACCCTCCCAGCCGTGCGGCTTTTCTCAAGTTATTGCTACCATAATAACCCACTCCTGCTATTATTACCTTAATACCATTCAAGCAATCTTTCTACATGCTACTGTTACACCTTTGTTTCAACAACCCAAGAAGTTGTAATTCATGCCCAGCCCGTTTGAAGCTTTCAGCAAACAAACAATAAAGAATTGTTTTATTTATTTTAAATAGTTCACCCTTCCAGGTAGACAGTGCATACTCACTACCCAATTCAAAACTACCTGAAGAACAAGGGCCAAAGACTAAACGTGTTATAAAAGTTACCACAACCCTCACAGATAGCACAAGCAGCTAAAGTTTCAAGTCACCGGAGTCACACAGCTGCTCACCCTCTACTTGCCGCAGCTGCTCGGAGCATCCCCGATGGGAGGAAAAAAAACAAACCGCAGGAATTCCAGGGACAGGAGGGCTGATTCCCCAGGTCCAACGCTCAGCAGAGAGATAACTGAAACGCAAGGTTGCCTTCCTTAGCAGGCTACCCAGATGGAGAAAGGGAGCCCGGGGGCTGCCCTGCCCCCCGTCCTGCAGGGGAGAGGCGAGGGTGTGCCTTCGAGGGGGTCACCCCCTTCAGGCAACTCCCCTATGCTGCAGGAAATCCGAAACAGGTGATTTACAGGCATGATTCTGCATCTCACTGAGCAGACAGCTCAGCTGAAAAGTATTAATCTGGGCCCTACAAGCTTGTTAAATAATGAACTTTACCCTTAAACTGAAGGAGGGGGGGAAAAAAAAGGGGGGGGAGGGGGGAAGGCAGTGTTGCGCAAGCTTATCAGTGCCCACTTGCTGCAGAACATGCTGTTGCAAGAGCTGGGTATGAAGAACCTCTACTATTTATATCTGCAACATTTCGAAGTTGCTGCAGATCTTTAGGACAAGATTAATGATTCTATGATTCTAACGCATAACACTTACACACCTGCATAAATACAATAGCCTTATTTTCTGCCCAGCTTTTTCTCCCATGTTGGAGGACCCTTGATTTATCCACAATTTCAAAAACATTTCTAAAGCTGAATTTCTTAATAGGGGTAAAGAGAAATAAATAAATTGTGTAAAGAGTTCATCCAAAAGGCTGTATGACCTGCACTTAGGCACCAATTTAATATGCAGCTGTATGGCATAAGAATGGAAAGAAAAACAGCGGGAAGCATAACATCTATGAAGACAAACACAAGTGATGGCACATTTTTCATTGAAGATACGAAAGTTCAAGCAACTGACTTTTTACTGACGATGTAATCATATTTTCCTTGAAACAATTACTTAGAGTTTATTTATTTAATCCTTTCATAATTACTTCAGATACTCATCTTGGCATTCTCTCATCCCAGGAACACATATGGACAGTACTCACTCAGTTCCAGCAAAAGCAACAAACTGGCAACCAAAGACTTCCAATATGACTAAGTCTACTTGGATCCAGAGTCAATCTCTCTCTACTACTCACCAACAGTCAGCCACAAAAACATTTTTCTGTTAACAGAATCACTTAATACATGCTATCCCACTCACTTTCCGGTCTCTTGACCCTTCCTCCTTTGGTTTGCTGACAAGTTCCTCTTTCTCCAGGGAGCACTTGCACTTCTACCCAGCACACTACAGTGGCAGCTCCCAGACACTTTGAGGTTTCTTCGAGAAACAGTGTGACCATCCACAACACGTGCACAGGAACAGACAGCATCGCTCAGGAGAAGGTTTTCACTATCAGCTGTTCTACCTTATCAGTTTAAGTGTACAAAATACGCACCATGCTCTAGTTTGGATTCTTTCCATCTTTTCAATATAAGCTTTTCTGAGGCTTTACAACTCAAATGCCAGTTTCACCCAGTTAAATAACTGACTGACGAGCTGGAAAGAGGTAAGGTTTTTTTACCCTTCACTAAGTTCTGCATTTTTTCTTATAAATAGCCTAAGTGATAAGAGTAACCAGCTAAATTGACTTTGTGTTCCTATTTTTAAGCTCTTAAGTTTGAAAAATACTTGATAAACGTTTAAGCAATATTAACATTCAGAACATTACAATGTAAGCATTCAGCTGTAATTAAAATATTTTGAGAGACTACAGCACACTGAGTAACCTTTTCCATGCAGAATATTATTTGAAAAGCATGCATTCTGCAAACAACATATGGTCTACAACAGTTTGCATACCTAAAATAAGTACAGCTAATCTACACCATCAAAACTTGTCTTCCCATATACTTACAGTAAAATCTCTCAAACTTCTATTCAGTAAAACAAACAGCACAGGAGGAAAAAAATGCATCAGAATCAGCTTAATTCTTAATCCACAGTTTTAACCCTCATCTCATACTGAAATGAATACTGAATGAGCTGGGTCATGATTGCTTTCAATAAGTATGTCAGAAATCTTCGAAAAAAAAGAGAGAGGAGGGCAAGGTTGTTAGAAGCTCAGACATCAAAGATCTTCCTAATAACGCCACATGCTTATACAACCACCTACTACGCATCATTTTTATGCATCAGCATACCAGGAACTACAAAACCACAAATACCAAAGGTACTTGCATTGCACGTTACAAAACTTCCTTCGCACGCAGAAATTAACAACTAATTAATTGTGACCGGAGTCCGAGAACTCAAGCTCAACCTTCACCGTGCGCCGGGGCAAAACGAAAACTTTCACATTCGAGTGTCACCTTACACCTCCCGTCAACTCTGTCACAGGTAGCAGTAACTCATCCCAAGTGTCAATAACTCCAAGAGACTTTTCAACAAATGGAAAGTCTCGGGTTCTGTTGTCATCGTCCCCCACTAACGCCTCCCACGCCGCTCCGGTCCAGCGCACAGCTGCTCCTCCGAACGTTTCCCAGCCCGCTCTCCCCGGCTCTGCCCCGTCCCAGCCCGCTGCGGGACCCCATCCCAGGAATCCCCACACCAAGGCAGCCCCGGGCAT